AAGGAAAATTAGGAATTTGCAGGATGTATTCAGAGGTGGGAAAACAGATGGAGAATACCGAATTTTCTAGGATTTGCCGTTTTGTAAAATTACTGGTAAATGAGGGTCTTTTGCCGTGAAGAATGGTTGTAAATTGCGCCAAAGTAATTCAATTATTCAGAAGCTCATCTACAAATGTAAACATATGTATTTACATTTTGTTGATGCCAGTCTCAATCCAATCCCAATTTTAAGAGACTTTTTGTTTATGCCAGTCCAAAATCCAACTTTTCTCAGTTTGGAGGCATCTTCTGACAGAACCTTTGTTGTTTCTCCTTTTAAAATCCCGTGATGACAATCTTGAAGATGAGATATACCATTTTCACTGGTGTTCTGTATTTGCATAATGGCTTCGTACAGTCAAAACAAAGATTTGGTGAATTCCTTTCCTCCACATTGTTAAACCCAAAGAAAACGGAATATAAAGCTGAAGATATCAATGCGGAACTCGCTCACCCGTTTATTCGACGTCCAGTGACGGTGTCAAAGGTCGGTGCGTGACGTGTAGGAAATCACTGTCGCGATATCCTGCATGGAATCACGGTCCTGAATAAAACCATTGCCAAATTGCCGTTAACTTTAAAAATAACATAGAAGCAGTGACTTTTGTGTATTACCAAGCTAAATTTTCACTTGCACTTATAATTTTAGACTCATTTTATCCAAAAGTAATACGATTTTTGTACGGTACTTTCTCACAGTTTCAATATGGCGGTCATCGAAAAATCTTGCAAATTACCAAACTTCGGGGAGGTCGTATCGAAAACCTGAAAACGATCCCAAACAAATGAAAAGGAAACATAAAACATCTATCCTTAAACTGTAGCGAAAGCATATTCTTCGGATTTATTTTGGCCAACCGACCGGGTTTTTAGGCAGGTCTTTTATGTCACTTTAGAGCCATTCAGAAAAGGCAATGAAGTGCTTTCAGCGAAACACTCTCCACGGGTCGTATAAAGTAAATCATCTGTCAATATACACAATATTTAATTCACCAAGGGGCAAGCTATTTCTTCATTGTAAGAAATCATTTATAGGCTTTATCCCGCTAACTTGAGAGAGTCACGAATATAGTGAAATTTCGGTCCATCAAAGAGGTCATTTTGGTTCAAAATGGACCCAACCGATTTTATTTAATTCCCCTTTTAAACGCAAAAATCAGACCAAACTAACCCTCTTTTGTTAACTACGCTACAATACTCTATCAATGTAAAAAGTATCACCGAAAACGAATTTTGAGCTGTGTCCGCGATTTTGGGATTATCTCCGATTCTTACTGACATTGACTCATAATTACTCCGGCTCACCATCCGAGATTCAGTTCCTGAAAGCTATCAAGGAAGGTCACAGTTGCTTGAGACTTTTAACCCCTCTTACGCATTAAGCAAGGTGAAAAACGAAAACAATGCCATTCGCAATCGGATTACCGAATTTTGACAAGCGACGCATTTCTCAATCAAAAACCCAATAAACAAACCAGCCACCAATAACAGAAGACTCTTGATAGCAGCTGTATTTCATTTTGTACATCCAGTGGAAAAATACAGTTAAAAACATCACAAGTTGACACAAAACTCTGTCAGCTTCAGCTGTCAAAGTAAACAACTTTCAAGATGCTGCATAAATTTTCCGCATAAGCTCACCTGTCGAATTTTGACCAATCAGAGCATAAAAATTGGACGTAGAGCGTGACGCGTGACCATGGTAAGAAAAGGTCTTCCCCGCCTGTATTTTTAAAAAACTGGCTGAATTTTCACGTCCGAGGTCAGTTTGAAATCAAAATCTCAATAGTGCGGGCCCATAGTGACATAAACACAACATATTTCATATGAATCATTGGAAAAGATAAACTTGAGCCTGCTATCATTTGAAACTAGTAATTTGTCAGCGGATAACTTCAAAAAATACTCGACCTCGATGAGTCGACACTTGAGCCCGCGGTGCGGTAAGGTGATACTGATCAGCGGATACCCTGTTCTGACAGCTGTCAATTGATCAGAACATTGATGTGCAATATTAGGTTGCACGCTCCCAAACTAGCTAGAAAGTGTGAGAGTAAACATTGGTTTCCCTGTGGTGCGGACGGACGGACGGTCGCTCGCTCAGTGTACGGTCACATGATTACCAGATTTTCTGGGATGGGTAGATTTCCTTAGGTATGGGGCTCCGCCCACGAGTGGAGCTCCGCTATAAGTCTAGAGACCTTTAAGTATAAGTGCTTCTAGAAGAAACTAAAAATTTTTTCCTTTTCATTGTTGGTGAGAGTTCCTCTGAGAACTTGAGGTAACAAATCTCTTTGAGAAGGAACCACGTCGTTTTAAAAGGCTTGTCTTGAGACAGAACTGCTCAACACTGCTTGACGATGACTTGTGGCCCATTTGCCGAGTGTTTTCTTTTGCTTTCAATGTTGAAATCTGGAATTTCAGTCACGTTTTGAGTCTTATTCTTTTTGTCAAACAAA